GGCGACGGCACACAGTTTCAACCAGTTCCACAAATGGCGCCACAAATGTATAATAATTGCACATGTTTGAATATTGCAGGGTGTCCGCATCTTGCTACTTTTAATGATAGCCACGATCATTGGATTACGGTACCAGGAATGATCTCAGATTATTTAGTGCTCGATGGTGCACTTGCTTCTACATTTGAATGCTATTATAATGAGACAGTACCGATAACGCTAAAATCATTATCGAATGATTCAGACAAACATTTTGTGATGAAATCAACTATAGAAACGCTACTGAATGAATTGATGATTGATGAAATGAGCAGTACGGTTCGATTTGATCTATTTTATGATCAGTGTCAACCGATTTACTGTGCGTATTCGTATGCACATCGTTTTGATGTTCTTTTCGTGTTCACAACATTCTTTGGTATTTTCGGCGGGTTATCATTTATATTAAAACAGAGTGCACCATTTCTTGCCTTGATAATATTACGTCGGAAAAATAGAGTTGCGCCAGACAATGCACTGCTCATGCATATAAAAAAAGTGTTTTTTTTCAGGTACGAAAGGTTACTGCGTCATCTGTAGAGGCGTTTTCGAATTGTTATGGTTCATTGCTTTTCATGATTCAACTATGATGAGCAATATTTTCTCATTTATAATAGTAGCTCATCAAACAACACCTCAAATCACTTACAGTCCATTTATTGATCATGAATATTCCTACTGGAATGAGTCAAAGAACTGCTGCACATTATGACGATATTGATGTTCGTATGCATAGTTATGTCAATCAACACAGTCGAAGTTTTCTTTATCCTGCTTATCGCAACTTTCATCATTTTTATATAGCACCTGGTATAGTGCATAAACCTCACCATGGCCATCATAGACATCGATTTTATGGACTTTATAGTTATGAAGATGATGATAATGATGATGATGAACGAGTTTATCAGCAATACTGGATGTATTATTAATCGAATGGACATAGATTGAAAATTTATTTTTATATTTTATTTCATGAGACAAAGAAGAAAAGTGTGTGACATGCATAAAAACTAATGCACTTTTTCTTCGAATATTTTGACAGAATATAGAGACAAATAAAATATATGTCATGATTTTTTTATCTTTCATAGACATATATTTTGTGTGCTGTAATTATCAAGGTTATGCTCATTTGTTCTGTTCCATTGACGTCACTTTGCTAGTCTATTATTCATTGCATCCCACAACTTGAGTAGAAACGGAAAGAAATATCAATGTGTAACTCTGATTGATCTAGAAGGTATCATTTTTGTAACTATATTTTCGCCTAGACCTTTAATACAAGAATTGGAGATTTAGAACGCAGACGATCATTGATTAAGATAAATCTTTGTCAACTAATGAATGTGTCTACGTTTTTTTATTTCAAAATTTTACCAGTATAGCTCTATCTCTTGTTATTGCTACATCAACGGTATTTATAAAGAAGTAGAGATGAAGTATCTATTCGTAGTTAATTAGAAGGATAACAAAAAAAATTAATGAGTAAAATAGTTTTGTCATTTAAACATCGTGACATCGAAGAAAACTAAACTTTCAAATGAATAATGTATTTTTGAGTCGGATCTTGTTCAACTTTAAGAATTTGAAATGAAATACCTGCTGGTAATAAAATTTCTTCTTCATGTGGATAACTTGATATATGACTAATATCATATGTACGTGGAGAACTAAGTTTAACATCAGCTATTTCAATGATAAATAAAGTGTTACCAAACATTTCAGCCATTTGACGATCTTTACTAGTTGACGTAAAAGCTGGCCAAGATTTCCATTCACCCACGTGTTTTTTATATGCTTCTACTGTTGTAAAATCTAATTCAACACCTCGATATACTGTTCCAATATAGTTTTGTAAACGACGAGAATAAAGTCGCAGAATATAACAAAATGGGCCAAGTGTATCTAATTTGGAATAATCTTGTTCTCGTAATGCTTTATTTAAAACATAATAAAGAAAACTATCCTTTGTATAAAAACGAATACACATTTCCGATAATTCTATGCAAGATTTGTTGGACGATTGTCGAAGTTTTTTAGCCATATATTTTGCTTCTGTTTCACTGTAACTATTATGTAAAGCAGCTTCTTGTACAATACCTTGAGCACATGCTTCAACACATTTAGGAAAATGAAGAAAAGCCTGTTGACCACGTGAAGTCTGGAACCATGCTGTTAAAAAAGGGCACCATGCATCCGCATTATTATATGACGACGATGGATTTGATACGAATAAGATAGTTGAAGCAAAGCGATTTTCACGTAAACATTCTTTTTTAATAGAACCTTTTTCACGTTTGACTGGACGCTGTTTTGTTTCGTCATTTAGATTTATTTGAATAAATCTTTCAAAATCTATTTTATATCGGTCTAATAAAACAAATAATTTCTTTTCATGATAAGTTTCTTCAATAAGATCGATTTCAATATCTCGATACTTAGTCCATTCCACAAGTTTCGACTCGTCAGTTGTTACATTTGGCCATGGATTAATATCGGATTTGTAATACCAGAAAACAGTTTCTTCCTCCATTTTTTTATCGACTCACTATTTGCATATTTATTGAATACTTCATTTTTGTCTTCAACTTATATATTCAACGAAAAAATATTGATTAAATATACATAAGTATATATTATTGATCGATACAATGACTACATTCAGTTTTACTTTTATCAGTTTACGTACGAAACTACCATGTCATGTCTCTGGTGTAGAACGTACATGGGAATATTTAAAAAAAGAATTTAATCGGCAAAGCGATGGTTTACCTGGCGCACGATATTACGAAACAATGGGAGCTGGACCTCAATTATTTGCTGTTCTTGATAATGAAGTATATTATCATGATGAGGAACAATGGTTTCCGTATAAGAGCGCGATGAATCTCGTACAAGGAACAATTGTAACCGATGAATAATATTTGCCTACTCTGCTATTATAAATTTAGTACGGAAAACTCGGATTTTCATAACAGCTATGTTTTCAGTTTTAATCAATAAATATTGACATAAAATATTTCGTTTTTTTCGCATATATACACTCTGAAGTATCGTTTATAATTGTTAAATATACTTATATACTGGAAAGAAGAAAATTAATTGTGCTAGTAAGAAATTGAAGATTAAATAGTAGAACATTGTTGTTATTTCCTTTTCTGAAAGAAAGGGTTATAGCGTTCTAAAATTGGTGGCTCAAAAGCTAAAAGTTTGTGATTTTGTCCAATCCAATCAGGTTGCAGCTTTTTATAAACCAATAAAACCTTAGAGATAACTGTTACGCCCTACATCTTATCCAGATGCAGTTCATAAGATCGATCATTCCTATGATCGTATGTGTTATATTCTCTCTCTATCGATAGGCATTTTCCTTTCTGTTCTTCGTCATATATATAGGTATTT